TAATAATAATAATAATAATAATAATAATAATAATAGTAATAATACTTCCATGGGCCTCCTAAACGTTCTGAAACGTTCTCAGCCTCACAGAAAGCATTTCATACAAGCTGCTATTTCAGAGGCATCTAAAAAAAACCAGCACAGTGGCAGGTATCTATTCACACCTTGCGATCTTAGAATTGCAAAGCTATCTGCTCAGTAGCCTACCTAGTTTTGAGAAATTAGACGCAACAAATTTTGAGTTTCACAACCTGTCAAGCTTTTTCGAATGTAGTTATTTGAATAGCTTTATACACTGTGACGACTGCGAACAATCTTACGCTGTTGATAGAGCCGATAATTATAACATTTAGTTTCTGACCTCATGGTCTTAGTAACTCAGCACGGCCAAAAATGTCAGATACAACTTTATACCTATGAGGTAACGGCCGGTGTGAATTGGAGAAATGTACGAAAAGTCGCTATTCCAACGACCCAAAGTTAAGCCAGGATTCGAACCTGCGAGCATTCGGTTAAAATTCTGTCATTCTAACCACAAAACTGTTGATGCCACATTTTGCATTATATTTTTTTAACATGCATACTGTAGTAGTTTTTAGGGAACCAAGCAACTATCGTGTGCTGTAAAAAGTATATCAAGCTAATGCTGCGCAGGAGTGGGAGTTGTTTACACTAAGCGGCTTTGTATGACATAACTTTAATAAATAGGATTTCAGACTCCCTGGAGACAGCAGACGCAATTTGATATTTCCGGAAAATCTCGTTTTGACTAATAATAAATAGCATTTATTGAAAAGAAGTCATTCCTGTTCAATAGCAAGCCTTATATGCTTTATACAAATCGATATTGATGGAGAGACTTTAAAAAAGGCTGCTTCGTAAATGTGGAAAATATTATGATAAGTTTAAATTGACACAGAGATGTCAGGGCCACGAAGAGCTCATGAAGTAGCTAGCCATGGGGCCCAATAATATATTAAATGAAAGGATAAGACAGACGACACTGTAAAGACGAGCCCACTAGGGAGCGGGACAGAGAGTGCCCACCTCTTGAGAGCAGAGGAATGTAGGACTAACATGATCTAAACAATTAACTAGCTACTAACCAGTTGTTGTAACCATCTCCAGTTAGGGCTATCGCAACATTTAGACGTGTAACTTACAAATAAACATTGTAAGAGTGAGGTAACATATTTATTTAGTTAGTTAGTTAGGTTTTTAGTTAGTTAGTTAGTTAGTTAGTTAGTTAGTTAGTTAGTCAGTTAATTAGTTAGTTAGTTAGTTAGTTAGTTAGTTAGTTAGTTAGTTAGATAGTTAGTTAGTTAGTTAGATAGTTAGTTAGTTATAATATGTAAAATGTTCTCCTGTATGTTTACTCTAAGACAAACAGCTAATTTCAAAATAAAAAATGCTGCAAATGTTGTTGTTATTACTAAACACAAAAGCGCCAAATGATAGAATTGGGCAAGGACCACAGAAAAAAAGGACAAGAAATCATTGGGAGTATGTTCAGGAAAAGTTGGAATGTTTCTCAAAGATTTAGAGCTCTGATAATTTGGTGACACGAGGAAAACTAGATCTAGACGTTCTTTGACCAGGCGTCAATTTAAGTAAAATATACATTGTAAGGGGAGACTAGAACTAAAGTTTAAGAAAGTAACGACAGAATGCGGACAGGCAATGTTGAACTGATATTAAGATTTATCACTTGGTAGACTCCCACCTCCAGATGGCGACAAGTCGGAGAAAGTAGCTCACGTCCAGATATACTGCTTTCATCCATCTGCATTTCTCAGTTTTCTTTTTCTTTTTTCTTTTTTTTTTCCTTTTTTCTTTTTTTTTCTTTTTTCTTTTTTTTGTGTTCATTTTTTAGTTGATCGATTGTCTACTAGTCGGTAGACTACTCTTTAACAAACTGTCAAATTGAACACCAGCTTAGTGCGTGATTTTCATGTGACAAGGGTGAGAACTGAAACCAACACTCTTTTCCCTTTTTTGTAGATTCTCTTTCCACAGTCGACTCCTTAAAGGTTTTCTTCAGTACCAGTGATCTTACCAATAGGTATTATTTATTGCCATTTTAGGCGCAGAATATTGTTTTAGGTGCTAGAGCGCAAATGCTGACCTCTGTACATATAAACAGGTTTACTTTTCTCACCCCCTCCCCCTTCTGTGTCTGTCTGTCTGTCTCTGCCCCTGTCTCTGACTCTGTTCCCCCTTCTCCCCTTCTCCCTCTCTTCTCCTCTCTCTCTCTCTCTCTCTCTCTCTCTCTCTCTCTT